GGAGCGAGGAATCCTCACCAAAGAACTGGGCCATTTGGGTGGAGTTGCTTGGGTCATTCATCAAAAGCCATTACACCATCTACCTCTCCTATAACCAAGGCAGGGCAAATATACTAGCTGTGAAGGTGATGGCTGCTCCCTTTCACCAAATCCAAGCCTGCTTAGAGAAAAGTAGGAGGGCTTGTCTGATCTTTCCTGTTCAGGGGAAGGGGAAACAGGTGGGTAGGACTTAATTGGTTGAGTTATGAAGCAGTAGACACATTTTATTTTAATTTCCTTGGGCAAGGAAGCATTTGATAGTATATCAACCCTACACTTAACAGTTTCTACATTTGGTCTACAGAAACAGCTGATACAAATCATTGTTCTATTATGACTTGTTTGGATCCGGACAATGCAGTGCTCTGAGAAGAAAGCAAAGAGGATGGTGAGAAGCTATAAAACGGTGTCAACTGAGGATCAGGTAGAAGACGTGGCTACGTTTGCCTGGGCAGGGGAGGTTCTGGCACAGCCTCTCACTCTCACCAGGGCTGCACATCGTATCTACCTGAGACACTTTAAAAAGTCCTTCTACCTTGTTCCACCCGGAGAGATACCGAATTATTGATTTCGAATGCAGTCTGGACATCAGGAGTTTTAAAAGCTCCTCAGATGAGTCGAGCTGAGAACCCCTGTTTAGGGGGCAGCGGGCTTGATTATGAAATGAGGAAAGTCCTCAAGTGGGAAAGGAACTAGGTCTCCTCTCTTCAGCACCAAGAAAACGACTATTACTAGTGGTAAGAGGTGATAGGAAGGTAGATTTGGGCTCAAAGGAAAGAAGACTATTTGAAAAGCTTTGAGCTATACTGAAAATGGAAGTAGCTTAGTGGTAAAGAAGCTTTGATCGCTACAGGTGATCAAGGCAAAGGTGGACAACCATCACCTGGGAAGGTTGAACTTGGCCAGTGAGGGCCCACCTGTGCCAGGAGGACCAGAAGCATTGTCCAGCCCCCTCACCCTTCATCAGAGCAGCTAGGCTTTCTCTCTTTTTCTATATTGGGTTTTCCTATAAGATTTCCTTTGAAAAAAGAGATCTGCTCAAAAAAAAAGTTTTAAAATCACTTAACTAGTTGAACTTTATAACTATTACCAACTCTAAAATTCTACAATATTTAATCCTGTTTGATGTTTTCTAAGAAATCAGGCTACTGATTGATCCATTCTTCTGAAGTCTGAGGTGGGCAAAGAAGGAGCGTGTGGGGGGATGGAAAGTGTGAGTAGAAGTTGGGGTGCTGCTGTCAACAAAGGGCCAGATGCAGGAGCCCTCAACCCTGTGTAAGCTTGCAACGAATCAGAGTCTCTGGGGATGCTGTGTGGTGATAGCTATTCATGACATGCAGTGGGATTGAGAGCCACCGGCTCCATGGGTGAGCAGTGAGAAGCATTCTTCTGTACATGGAACCAAACGTGTCAGGCAGCCTCTGACACAGTGTTTCTTAAACTTCAGGTGCATCAGATTCACCTGGATGACTTGTTCAAACACAGATGGCTGGGATCCGCTCCCAGAGTTGCTGATTCAGTAAACCTGTGACCGGGCCAAGAATTTACATTTTTAAAAAGTTGCAGGTGATGCTGACATTTCTGATGTGGGGAGCACCCTTTGAGAATGACTACTCTGACAAAAGTGATTTACTTTAGACCTGCAAAGAACCTCCTCATGGCGGGAACTCGAGTCACGGTATGCAGCCTTGATAGGATGGGATAGTGCAATTAACCATTGCGGTCTTCCTTGCGGAAATATATTAACCTAGTCTCATCACAGGGGGATCATCAGACAAAATACCAATCGAGGGACATTCTACAACATATCTGACCAGTAATCCTCAAAACTGTCAAGGTCATCAAAACAAGGAAAGCCTGAGAAACTGTCACAGCTGATCGGAGTCTAAGGAGATATTAGTTAACTAAATGTAATGTGGTGTCCTGGATGGGATCCTGGGGCAGAAAAAAAAAAAGACATTAGGGAAAAATCAAGAGAACGATGCGTCAATATTGGTTCATTAGTTGTGACAAATGTACCATATGTTTGTAATATGATAACAGGGAAAACCGAGAGCTGATCCTCTTACTTTATCACACTGCAGCCCCGCAGTAGGAATACAATCCTGGATAAAAGAGGCGACTGTTGTAATGACTTAAAATTCTTAGTAGACATTTTCAACCTTTGGATTCTATTCATCTGGAAATCACCACCATGGCGGCCCCTCTCGCTCTTTCCCTGCCTTCTTTTTTGCAGTTCCAAGAGAATCTGCTCAAGGTCGTTGAAATGAAGGACAGTCAGAGTCCTTTCCCCAGGCAATATTTTGCTGCTGGTTTGTAGTTATGGATGACCTTATTTCACTGGCTTTGAGAGAGAACTTTATCAAATTCCCCAGGTATCATGTAAGTTTTAATGTGTCCTTGGAACACTGTGGGCTCACGGTGTGTGTGTGTCTTGGGGGAGGGTGCATAACACAACCACTCTCTGGACCTGGATGTTTGGGTTTTTTTTACTTTCTTTCTTTATTTTTTATTTTTTTGCATTGTAATCAGTATATTAAGGAGACATTCATACATTTCAAGAATTGCTTAAATTCTTATATCCAGTTTAAGCTTGTGAACATATGACTTTAAACATACAATTAAAGCTATTCATAATTTGCTATACTACCAACATTAAATTACAGTTACTTTGGAGCATAAGTTAAATGGTTGAAAGTAAGCCTGTAACATACCTGCAAAACACCTTCCTAACTCATACATGCAAATTACTTCTCCATGTAAAGTTCTCATGACTCTAACCTCTAAGTTACTGGGCCCCAGAAGTCAGTACTCTAAGGCTTACTTTGGTCCAAAGAGAAAGAAAAAAAAAAAAAGTAACCAGGACCAATAGCTAGATATATTAAAAAAAGATGGCACAGCAGAAGGGAATGCAATTCTACAAGTGCAAGCCCTCAAGAAGCAGCATGTTATATGATAAACCCCTTCTTTAGAAAAGTATCATTTCTATCACTGGACCTGTATGTTTGTTAATCGCCCAATATTCACGTTGTTTCTCCAACTTGGCTTTAGGTCCCCTCAGTCTTTTGGGTGCTGGTTGTTTACAGTTCCTGCCATAGTATCTGGCGAGGTTCTAGATAATAAGTAGCAATCACACCTGGTAAGGAGATAATAATAATTCAAAGGCAAACTGAATAGCTCATGTACAGTTACAGTGGATTGATTGGTTTGGACCATTTATCTTTTCTTTTCAAGTGACTTAACTATACATTTGCAGAAGTTAGTGAGGAACTCAGAGGCACTCCTGGGGATTAACAGTGGCTTAACTGACAGCTTTAGGGGAAAAGCTTAGATACCTGATTCATCTTCCATCCAGGAAGGGACTCCCAGGGGATAAGACTGCAGGGTTGCATGTAAAACTCAAAATTTGAAGCAAAAGTCTCTCATCCCCTGGAATTTTCTCTTCCTAAGATTGAGCAGCAATACTGGAAATAGTGACAACTAAACTTAAAAGAGCTCTTCTAGGGAAACAGGCACCATTCTAATGAATTCATTTCATCCTCACAGAGGCACAGAGAAGGTAAGTAACTTGCTCAAGCTCACACAGCTTGAAGTGGAGCCAGGATTCTAATCTGGGTCATCTGGCTCCAGAGTTCATGCTGTAAACTGTCAGGCTTGCCTGCCTCTCTTAGAGAGGACACCAGGAGAAGTCCACCTCTTGACTAACCTGACTAGAGAGTCCAGGATCTGGGCGGGAACTTCCCAGAGACTACCACATCTGTCTAAGGCTAGAAGGAGAATGTCCCATCCCTTAGCTGTACTTCATGCAACCATCACCACGAGCAACTGGTAAATATTGATTAAGCTTCTGTTCTGTGCCAGGTACCATGGATACAAAGATGAAATAGAGACTTTAGTACTGCCCTCAGGAACTGTGGGGGAGATAGACACCCAAGCAAATAAGCCAACAAAAAATCTCAAACAGCTTCTAATAAAGGTCAAAAGAAAACTGTCCCAGCCCCGATGTTCTGGGACCCACCTTGCCTGGGGGAAGGATACACAGTAGATGACTCCCTTCCTCTCTCATTTAGTTTTCCTGCAGCTTTCTTCTACTTACAACTGACAAGTTTAAATGGCAGAGATTTGAAGTTCTGTACAAGGTGTCGGGATGTTTAGAAGGGAAGTATTCTGTTAATCCGATAAATAGAAGAGAGGCTCCAACTCAGCAGATGCCCGTTTGCCTTCTTCCTCCAGAGACCTTTATATCTTCTCTGTTTCTTCTTCCAAGGCAGGAATCTTGTATTCCCTATGCAAATTCTTCTGGCAGCCTTGCTCTGCTGTGCATCCCCGTCTATCACCATAACAAACATTTGTCGCTGGGGTATTGTTGACGCATTGCCCTCGAAAACTCCCTCTGTCACGGGGTCAGCCTCTTTCTGCTGATCTTCATTATCTAGCCCTGTTGCTATGGAGAGCCGATGGAATCAGGTGTGTTTTTGGCTTACATCACTCCCGCCGGGGTTGCGACAAGGACTCTTCTGTACAAGATGCTTGGCGGGCCTGTGGCAGCCTGCGGCCAGGCTTTTCCTGCGGGTGAAACCTAATCAACTGATAAGCTGCAGATCGTATCAAGACTTCTGTTTGATACGTTACTAGCCACAGACATGTTTCCGCGATTAATAACACGATGCCCTCTGACAATAAAGTTGTTGGGGAGGAAGAAAACACTCCAGGCACCAGACGTGGGTTGAGAGGGCTTGTGTGTTCACATAAACACAATCTCACGTCACTGCCTCACCATAAACTGTTTTGTTGTCGAAGACCGCCTTTGTGCTACTCCTCTGATCTTGGCTTCCTACATAGCCACGTTCTCGGTGAGTATGCCCCGTGGCAAGTGCTGCAAGCGCTGTTTCCTGTTTCTAAACTTGTAGACTACCATCCATACGTCTCACAGTTGTCAAATTTAACCAGGTAACAGCAGCACCTTCATGCTGCTTTTTTATCTTTAGCTTAGATTAAGAGGATCCTGAAAGTAAAGTTGTAGATTTTTTTGGATAGAGTATTCTTAATTAATTTGGCTAAATTTTCATATGACTCGTAATCTAAAAAAGGAAGTAAGTAGAAATTTCAGGACCCGTTCCTCAGGCCTGAAAAATCAGTAGTGACGAGGCTACAGACATGAAGATTTTAAAGCAATAAATGCCTTGTCGTTTTTCTTCTGTGTTTGCTGAGAGCAAAGGAGTAGCATCAGCTTTGTTTTCATTTGATGCCCCCAAACAGGAAGACAATAGCAGGTAAGTCATTGGTCAGAGTCAATGGGGCCCATGCACACTTTGTAGGCCAAAAACATTTGAATAGTTTTCATAATCTGTGTACACTCTTGCAGTGAAGTTGTTTCACTTCATTTATTGATGAATATTACTTATGTAGTACTACTATGGGCTAAGCGCTGAGCTAAGCTTATTCTCTTAAGAGCTTAACATTTTAAAATGATTAAGATATATAACAAACATTTATAAAAATAAAATATGCTTATCCAGTAATTTGGAAATGCACTAAAGCAGAGGAAAAAAATGTCACTCAGAGATAACCACCATTAAAAGCCTGGAGTATATTCTTGCATTTTGTTGACTCTGTGTGCATGTGTGTATGTGTGCATGCATATGTGTGTGTGTGTGTGTGTGTGTATTTTAAGCAAAGCTGACAATATACTCTATACAATTTGTCATTTTTTTCTTTTACTTAATTTTAATTTTTACAAACTCTTCATAAATACATTTATTATTGGTTATGTAATGTTTATCTTATTTGTAACAGAGGATCAACATTCTTTTTTCTCTTTTATTTTTTCATGATCATGCTGTATGGATCACAGATTTCCTCATTTCTTAGTCAAAGGTCTGTCTTGACCATACTCACCAAGGTTCTTTGGAAAAGTTAACCTCGCTTGTGCTTTGAGATGATTCTACTGTTCTCCTGAAGATATAAACATACACACACATCATCACCATCATCCTGGAGCCTGACACAGGCTAAAACCAGGTGTGTGGTCTTCTGGTTTTCAGTCCACTTTGACTGTCATGCCCTTGCTCCTTGCCATGCCCTAGTGGTGCATTCAGAAGTGGGGCTGTCCTCGTGATGGGGAGGTTTTCAAGTCTTTATTAATGAATTCAAGACCTGGTACCTAATACTTAGCTTCCCTTAGCACCATCACAGCCATTCTCCCATCTGGAAAGATCTCTTCTCCCGGATAGGGGGCACTCCCTCATGTCTGTCTCTCCCTTCTCCAGGAAAGCGATTCCAGTTTGGTTCCTACTAGGTCCTATTGTGCCAAATAGAGTCTTGGTACTCCTTCTTGTTACTCAGGAACACAAAGACCCTCTTAGTTGAGTTGGGAAGGGAAGGGTGGGAGTTGCCCAAGGAGAGGGTGGTAAGCAAAGCCTGGAACTGGAGACTTCCATGTCCTTGAGGAGGTGAAGAGAGTTAAAATCACCTTCTGTATTCTTCTGAGCCTCCTCAGGTGATAGAACACCATGGGAACTATTCTCTTAATAGGTCATATTTTCATGTAATGAATGTGGCATAATTTATCAAACCAGTGCCTTCAGGGTAAAATCTAAACTTTTAAACGTGATTTACAGCCTGTCGCCCTTTGGTTCCCACCCACCTCTCCTTGCCCGGCTGACCCAGCCCTGCTGAACTCCCAAGCTCTCTAGCTGGTTTTTCCTCCAGGTTTTGCATATGCTGTTTTTTTTTTGCTGAAACACTCTTCCCTCTATCATCCCTGTCTTCTGCTGAACTTCACACACTTTTCACATTTTAGTTTAAATGTCACTTCCTCTGGTTAGGTTCTCTCTGCTCTGAGGTCTGGTAGCAAATGTCGTAATTACTCAGTTAACCGTTTATCTCCACCCAGATTGTAAATTCGGCAAGGATGAGGGCCACGTCTGTTTTGTGTTTGGATTCTGTTCCAGCTCAGCGTTTGACACATATTAGGTGTTCAATAAGATATTGAAATGAGCAGTGGACATTTTTGGGTGCTTCTGGTTTTTATAAGTAGTGATTATTTGTCCATATCTTGTAATTTTTAATTACTTTCTGATGATAAGTTCTTGGAAGTAAGATTACTAGGTCAAAGGACATAAGCATCTTTGAGCCCTCTTGAGAAAAGACAGATTGCTTTCCAGAAAGTTTTACACTCCTACTAGTAGTGAATGAAATTTCCTGTTTCATTGTACTCTTATCAGCACTATTAGAAAAAGAAATGTTTTGCTAACTTGGTAGTAAGAAAGGTTCCCTTCTGCTGTTTCAATTTTGCCTTAAATAGTGAGATGTTTTCATCTATTTTTAAACTCATTTATATTTGCTCTATTATGAATTGTCTGGTGTCCTTTGCCCATTTTTATTCTGGAATTTTCATGTTTTTGTAATCACATTTTATAAACTCTTTGTGTTTTAAAGATGTTAGATTATTATCATGATATTCGTTGAAGGTTTTCCCCTCTATTTAGATGTTTGTATTTTCATCTCATGTTCTTTCTCTCTTTTTTTCATCTTACATTCTTCTTAAGTTTAATATCTTCATGTGATCACGTCTGTCATCATTTTCCTTGGGATTTCTTACATGACTCTTAGAGTCCCTTCACCACCAGTGATCAAATATTCAGCTAATTTTTTTTTTTTGGTATGTATACAGTTAGATTTCTTTGCCTGTGTGTGTGTGTGTACTTGTGTGTGTGCATTTGTGTGCATGTGTCCTTGGGTGTCAGCCACTGGGAATTTAATGGTAGGTTGGGAGGACCTTCTTTTGCCAAAAGGCTGACCAATGTCTCAACATGATCTGTTGAATAATCTTTCCTTTTCCGATGATTTAAGGTGCCTCTTTTCACAAACGTAAGAACAATATGATTCTAGCTTCAGTGTGTCTTCCTGAAGTGGGCCAGGGGCTTTTTCATCATTTAGGTTTTAGGGAGAGACTTTTGAGAGGGAGGATACCTTCTGTGTTTGTCCTCCCCAACCCTTCTCCCTGGCTCTGCCTGCTGTGTAACGCAGTTCAGCTTCACTGAGGCTAAACTCTGAGGCATCTAGGGAAAGTTGGCGTTGAGATCTGAAACTGGTAATGGCACAACGCATTTGCATGAAAACCCACTTCGCCAATTCAGTCATGTTTATAGTTGTCTTTTTGGCATTATTGGAGTATAGCTTTAGTTCGTCTGACGTTGGATCTAAAAACACACAGCCTACAAACAGATACCCACTAAAAAGTAAGTGCTATGGTGAGAGACAGAGAGACACTGCCACCCTAACTAGTGTTCAAGAGACCAGAGTCTCTATGGTGATGGTTTCTTCTTTTACACAACACTGCACAGTTGTACAAGGGGGGAATGCCAGTCTTAACTAAGACAAGAGTCGACAAAATGTTTCCTTTACAGGAAGCCACTAGCCACAGTACACAGAAAGGTGGGTGGGAACAGACATCTCTACATTAAGGTACTTTTCTCTCTCTTTCTCTCTCTCATTCATTCTTTCTTCCTTGCTCTCTTGCTTCCTTCCTTTCTTGCTTGTTGGCTTCAGCTTAGTTCTATGATAACGTTTGACTTTATCATAGTTCTTGCAAGTTGGTCCCTGGGAAAATGAATCACAGAATCTAACATCTCAAGTTATGAAGCATTGAGGACATTCATTTGTTGTATTTTCCATAAATCAAAATTGGAAACAGAGACAAGTGGTTATTTTTATATGTCAAGAAGCAGAAACAGTGGGAGTAAAAGAATCTTGCTGCTTTAGGAAAGGATTGTAATTTATATCAAAGTGCTACAGGATTGAAATGGAAGTGTTTCAAGAGTTTCCCCACATCCTGCCACAAAATGTGGATCTGTGTTTTGAAATCAATTCGTTCAATCTTTATCCTGAATTCAAATACAACTTTTTTCCCTTCCTGAATCTTAAACAAATATAATTAACAATCCTTTTCTTTCGTTGGCGGGGGGGGGGTTGTCTATTATAATTTCTGCATCTGGGGGTTTGTTTGGGTGGGGTTGGGGCGTTGCAAGTATTTAAAATGTCCTCAGGTGTTTATTTGCAAGTAATAGACAGCAAGTAACAAAGAGACCCATCTCATTCCAGCTTAAATCACGGAGACCCTGTCCCCAACCCCCATCCCTCATTCTCCACCCCCTTACCTTGCTCTTCGTTTCCTTTTCCCACAGCGTTTATCACCCTCTAACACACTACCAGTTTACTTGTTATGTTTATTGTCTATTGCTTGTCTCCTGAATAAGGACAGTGATTCTTGTCGGTTTCATGTATTCTAAGTGCTTGATACCATATCTGGCACGTAAGCAGTCACTCAATAAATTTTTGTTGAACTGAATGTAATCAACTCGCATCCCTGAAAAGTCCAGTTTTCTGGTGGGGTGGGGTCCTTCGTCTCAATGATGTCATCCAGAACCTAGCTCTTCACTCTTTTCTCTGTCTACTTTGTTTTTGTTAGCAGTGACCCAATCCTAAGTCACGCTCCTCCTGTGGTCCCCAGATGGCTCTAGCTCCAGGGTTTCTAATTCAAATACAGCAGGAGGGACATGGAGGCTTCATCTCGCATTCCTAGCAAAAGTCCTGAGAGTCCCTCTGAATGAACTGGCTCAGTCACGGTCATGGTGACTGGGGGATAGGTGTGCTGATGGCTTAGCCCAGCACACATGTTCCTTCCTTCCCACCAAGATGGAATTAGCCTTTTAGGAATCACGTGGATCCCCAAACAGAAACTGCGGGGCTGCTGGAGAGGGGGCTGTGGAGTTTGGATGTCCACACTCTTCAACAAGAAGGAAGAACACGCTAACCAATAAGGGTTTATCATTACAAGCAAACAGAATTTGGGAAACCCCCTGTCTGTTCTTCCTAGTTTATGTGACTAGAGCTGAGGTTAGACTCAAGCTTATGTGATTAGATTGAGCACATCTTCTCAATTTTTCTTTGGGGGGGAGCAATTTGTGTTTTCCTAGGAGGTGGAGGAATCCTCTAAAAGGATCCAGGAGAGCAAGTAAACAAAAAGCTGACCTTAGGATTAAAAAAACAGTTGCCTTTTCATTCTTTCCAGTGATGTAACTTACTGGAGTTTTAAGAAAAGCAGTCACTTCACCCCTTTTCATTCTTATTCTGCACTGGGTGCACCAGACACTGGTACTTCTTCATCTTCAGGACTTACTGACCAAGTTAGGTAGCACAGAGAGAAGATCCACGTTGTAGCCTGTGGCCATGAGTAAGGGTGGTACTCAGAGCTGATCCCATCAAGGCAGAACTCTTGGCTGTCAGCAGAGGACCAGCTCACTCTGACAGCTGGCTCCTCTTCTTGCCCTTCCTCATCTCTGTGGCTATTAACTCAGGATTCAACCCCTAGTAGAATGCTCTTTAATTTTGTCACCCATAATTCTGTAACACAGGGGATGAATTGCTACAGGTAAGCACTGGGGGATGGTACAATTTCCTTAGTTATATATAAGGTCAACATATGTGCCAGAAAAGTGTAATTCATTCTTCCAGGATCTTTTTTTTTCCTCCAAATTTGTGTTTTTATTTACTCTGACTACAGGATAGTCTGAGAAACAACAGCAGTGAGACTAGAGGCAGGAAGACATATTAGGATGCTTTTGCAAAACTTCAGTACCTGACAAAAGTAGTAATGCCAAAGAGGGAAGAGGTATTTACACACATAATCTAAAGGCAGTAGTGAGTACTTGAGTACACAAGGACAGTGAAGAATCTATACTGACGTCAAGATTTCCAACTTGGTTTACTAGGACATAGATACTGGTGTCAGTGGCCATGAACAGGAATACAGGGAAGGAAACATAGGGTTTTCAGTTTACTTTGCTCAGATCCATCAGAGAAGTCACTATCTGTGGCAGCTATAGCCTTACAAAATATATTTCTTAAATCATAAGACTTGAAAGTCAAAATTACTCTTTGATCCATGGACTGCAGAATGGATGTTGTGTTAGCAGGTATGAAAGCAACATTAATCTCGTACATCTCCATCAGAACTC